AAGCGACGGCGGGGACTTTGCTTAATTATGGCGCCGTTTGCTAGAGAAGCGGCAATGTTTGTTTTATAATCGAGAGTTGCAGTACGCGCATACTTACTTGTCTAAGCTCTCTTTACGCCCCCACTTATCTACATGTTCAGTCTGTTAATCGGACTTCTGTATTCGTCTTTTTTATTGGGTCTGTTATTTAGCTATGAGTGTGCAAAAAGTTCAAGAAGTTAATAAGTAGAAAAAATACTTTAGTTTGTGAAATTTTGAAAACCATCACATATAGGTGTTTCGTTTAAAAAAAAAATCTTAATTTTTGTTTGCACAAAGTAGTCTGTGGTGAGAATTGTTACAGCCGCAATAATTTTATGCTTAAGATTGTTACTTAAATTTAAAAATTACCTTAAATGAACATGTACCTACCTGGCTTATGGAGTTGTTTCCAGTACATCTATTGAATTCATTACTGAATATAATTTGTCATGTTATAATTGTGTTACAGTTACATTTTGATACTATGAAACATCCATAACAAGAGCTAATAAAGTTTTTTTATATTGCTACCTTAGTAAACACTGTGAAATTGTTGATTAGTAAGACAATTAGTAAGGTGTTTAAACGTCACGCTCTCATCTTTATTGCTTCCACTCCTTTTGACTTCGTAAAGCTTCAGTGTCAATTTCATTTCCAGCGGAAATGGGACTTTCCGCGTCCCTTCATTCACGTGATCTATTGCGAGATTGAATAGCAAAACCGTTGACCGCTCATTATCAACCGAAAACCAAATACTTAACAAACGCCATACTATATACTGTATATAGAATGTTTAGTGTTTGTAATTATCTGTATATTTATTGATCATGTTTAGTATTTGGTAAATATCTGTATAAATCTTATGAAGTTGGTTTGGAAATCGATGTTTATGTTGATTGACGTTCACCAAGTGGTCCAAATTTGACCGTAATCGTTACCTATTGAAAATGAAACGTGATATATCTTTCATTTTTTTCAACAATTTTTCTACTTAATTGATCACTAGACCATTGAGTTTTATTTTTTATGAGCTACAAAATCAAAAATAAAGGTGGAAAACAGAGAACATAAAGACAAACACACTTGATATGAAACAAAAGAGATTTCTACTTTTATACATAATTTTATAACAGTAGACATCCAAGGGGACTGCCGGCAGATGTGGAAACTTTTAACTTTCGAATGTGTTTTTTTTTTGCAATTCCTTACATTATGCATAATTAAAATCAAAAACTAATTTAAATTTCAAAACACCTACTTTATTTCAGATAATATTTATTATTAAACAAATGAACAATAGTTTTGAATAATTAAACTTTAATGTATTTTTTTATATTTTATGATTCGTGAGCTAAATTGTCGAGCAATTAGAAATCCTTTTTACCATGGGCACTATGATAAGTGAGCGGAGTGAATAAATAATATGTTGCAGAGATTCATGAAAAAATCGCTTCTCGGCCTTTTGGCTAAGATCAAAGTGTGAAGATTCATCAAAAATTTAACGTCACGATCCTCAATGATCGAGCACAGAACATTATCATGTCACCCACTTTTGTCAGCCAAAATTTAATAATGAAGCTCTGGGCTCTAATCCAGCGTATATGTTATGACTGACTGTATTCATATGTGTAATATAAATAGGAGTAATGTCAATAAATTATTGTTACTCCAACTAATAATTAATACATAGACAGAAAGATGCTTATTCGTTATAATAAGTCAGTATTATAGTTTATTGAAAAATAATTCAATTTCAAATTTGAGACGAAAATAACAGAAAAGAAAACAGTGATGACATCAAAAGTCAAGCTGTGTGTATAAAAAATACGTTTGTATAGTTATCCAACGTATGCATTACATACAGACTTGATGTCCGAATACATTTGGCGACGGTCCAGGGCGAATGGCTTAAAAAGATCCGGCCCGAAGGACCATAAAGTTGTTACGAGGATAAAGGAGCCCTGGTGTATTCGGCGCAGCGCTCGGCGGCATTAACCACTAAATCCGAGATTAGATTTCAATAATGGCGGAGTATATTTATGCATTGAATTCTTATCGTACTCAAGCAAATGTTACCGCGTGTGGATCGTGTTCCCTTCACTTTGAGACACATTCGCCTTTCATACGGAAATGCTTTGAGTTTGGCCAGCGGAAATATTCCAACTTCATCAACACTTCATATATTAAGGATGATAAATAGGAATGATATAACTAATAATTTTTTATCTATTGTACGGATATATTATACGGGGAACTTGTTAGCTAGCTTGTTAGTTTTTCGTGTGACAAGGAATACTGTATGTTCAAATATCGTGAATTAAGAAACAAATTAGGCGCTATAAAATCCGTAGACTTTTCCTTCACTTTCTCTCGTTCACTTTCTTTTACAATATGTAGTATTAGCTTAATTACGAGTGCTAATAATAATTTTATATATTTTAAAAGAAGATTTTTGGCGATTTTTCCTTTTGGCAACATGACCGCGAAATTTTTGCTTGCTATTCTGCAGTCCTTCAAATTAGCGAACCGGTGGAAATTTTTGACAATAGTACGTACTAAAATCAAGTATACATTGGGTAAAGAAATGTGTTGTGACATTCGAACACCAATATAATAGCAACCAATTGCAATGCACGCAAATGAATGCTGTTAATATTGTAAAGAGAAAATAATATAGTAAATTAAAAAAAAGTAAAGTAACAGCCTATACATGTCCCACTGCTGGGCAAAGGCCTCCTCTATACAGAGGGTATCGGGGCATAGTCCACCGCGCACCCCCTCTGCGGATTGGCGGACTTCACATATTTTCGAAATATATATATTTTTGTTATTATTTCGAAAATATGCAGGTTTCCTCACGATGTTTTCCTTCACCACAGAGCACGTGATAAGTCAGCACTTAAAGTTAACAACTTCATTGGTGCCGGCACCGGGGATCGAACTCAGGTTGCTCGAGTATATTGAATTAAAGGCGAGCGCCCGGACACTAAGCTATCACGGCTCATTATAATAAATTACTTCATAATAATTACTTAATTGTTATGAAGTAATATAAAGTAGGTATAATAATATGATGCCTACGCGATCTGCTGGGTAATCTATTTTACTTACACCTGTACACCTACTAGCGACCCGCCCCGGCTTCGCACTGGTTCAATGTATTATACATATAAACCTTCCTCTTGAATCACTCTATCTAGTAAAAAACCGCATCAAGATCCGTTGCGTAGTTTTAAAGATCCAAGCATACATAGGGGCAGACAGACAGCGGTACGACTTTGTTTCATACTATGTAGTGATACTATACATATAAATGGATTTGGCGTATACGCTTAAGTAATACGCGAAACGTTTTACATTCCATGCGCGAAAGTTGGACCGGAGCGAGATATTTTATTTTCGCCTCTCAAATCACTTTCACCGAGCGCGTTTTCATTTCGCATCCTTAAAAGGTTAGGGGGCTCTTAAAATCCTTTTAACCCAAATACGTAGCGATACACCTTTTGTTTATTAAGCAGGGTCACGTTCGCGTTAAAAATGTCTACTATAACACATAAGGATATTTGACAGGCTTTTCGTCACAATCTTCGCCGTTGCACGAATGGGCAGGTCCGCCCTGGTAAGTACCACGACCTCACAGAAGACCGGCGTAAAGTGGAAGTATAATACTTTCGCGTTTCGTCTGGTGAGCGAGGTGGCCGGAGCCCAATTTTCAAAAGGTTATCAACGCATCTGAAACCCTCGGGTGTAGCAGATGTCCGAGGGCGGCGGTATTCACTTAACATCAAGTGAACCGTCTGCTCGTTTGGCAACTTTTTACATAAAAAAACGATCTCACAGAAGATCCACGTGAAGTAGAAGTTGGCACCTTATTAAAGGGTAGCAACGCATCGACAACCCGATTGTGGCAAATGTCCATGGGCGGCGATTACCATCTAACATAAGGTGAACTGTCAGCTCGCTTGCCAACTTTTTACATAAAAATTGCCGGATATAGTGGTATATATACTTGTATAATATGTGTTGGTAAGAGTAACCCTACGCTTTTGTAGATCTCCAAGGGCGGCGGTTACCACTTATCCACCAGGTGAACCGCCAGTTCAAAGCTATTTCTTATGCCTTAAATTGAATAAATAAATAGACATTATAAATGAAACTAATTTTACGGATTTATCGTGTTTATTTTTTTTTTTATTTTAATTCCCGACGTTTCGAACCCTTTACAGCGTTCATGGTCACGGGACAACCTGAGGCGCTGGACGTCTGATTGTCAAATAAACGCGTTAAAAAAATAAACGCGATAAATCCGTAAAATTAGTTTCATTTATAATGTGTAATCGCGTAAATACCTACATGAAATTATCAAATAAATAGACATTTCAAGACACATTTTTGAACGTTGTTCTAGTCTAAAACTAAGCAACGCTTGTGCTATGGGCACTAGATAACTGATAAACATACTTTGTTTATAAATACATACTATAAATATATAAACACGATAAATATATAAATATACTATAAACATATAAACACTGGAAAAACATAATGTTCATCACACAATGTTTTTTCAGTAGTGGGACTCGAACCTGCACCCACTATCCATTATCCATTAGACCAATGGGGTCAAAATTAATCCTTACTAATCCTTAGTGAGGACTAATCCTTACTAATATTATGAACGGAAAAGTTTGTACGTATAGATGGATCTTTGTTACTCTTTCACGCAAATACTACTGAATGGATTCTAATGAAACTACAATAATATATTTTATCATAGCTCATACATCAGAATAACACATAGGCTTTATTACTTATACATAATATTTTTGTATATCTGTCTTTCTGTTTGAATGTTACGCCTTCAGCCTATTCTACGCAGACGTAGTCGCGTGCAGCAGCTAGTCGGGAATATTTGGGTGAGACAACTTTTTATGTGTGCAACGCTTCATTACCCGTACAAGACGTTTCACACGTGCATTATGAAAGGTCGACGCCGGTTCCCGCTAAGGGGACAATTTGATCGTGAAAGGCACTTAGTGTCTGCCAATTACGATCGTCCCGATGGAGCTGAAACGTCAGTGGGGACGGGCATTAAACTAAATAGAGCCGGGAGGGCGCGTTCTGTACGGCCGGTATCATACCGTTTTATGTATGCCCTGGTTCAGTTTGAGTGCCGTGGTTTTGACAATCTAACACGAATTCATACTGATCGTTCAGTACTGTTTTCGTAAATCCGGTGATTTGGTTGGGCATTAACATTTAAAAATCACCAATGTTACCTGAGGTATACAGACTTTTCCCTAAGTTCCTCCAAACACGAGTCCTAACTCCACAGAGTTTTCCGAGTGTCTTTGCTTCCTTAATCGCGCTTTAGAGCAGCATAGACGGAGACAAAGAAAAATGGTACCTATACTCATGAAACAAAATAGTTCCTTTGTACCTAAATTATAAAATGACTGAACTTATACAAAACAATGTAAGAGGGTCTCGATGTTCTGAACTATAAAGAATACTTTGATGAAATAAGATAAATGAAACCGATATATAAATATATACCGCAACTTTAGTTAGACATTTTGATGCCTCCGTTTCGCAGTTAACAAATTATTGGACTTCGCGCGTTCTGGATCGTGGGTCTATTCCCACACGGGACAAAAATATGTGCACATCATGTGATGTTAGGACTGCATTACATTATCATACAATAAGGGAAATGTTAGAGTAAAATAAAAAAAAAAAGTCTCGATGTTTCTACGAGCACCGAACTAATTATCGACGGATTCCGAACGAGACGGGATACTCGAGCGTTGAGGAGCGATAAAGGAGCAGTCGTTACCCTAATAAGCCGGAGGTGGGGAGAGATCCGAGCGATGAACAAAGCGGCGTCCCCATAAATCCAGCCGCCATCGGCGCAGGTACAGCTTGCCACAATGGGCGACCGCGGCATAATTGCTATCTGACGGTACGGTAGAGTGCACCCGCATAATACCATTACGTTCCATTGATGGGCGCATCCCGAGCGCCGTTGCACAGCCCCGATAGATAGACCGGCCACAGAATCATATTCCAACTATACATCTATACATGACCTATATTCGTATAATAACATATGTATATGGATCGGTAAAGTTACGCTCTGGACCTCGGTAATTAGGCTGCGCGATGCCTTTTTTCGAATCTGGGATAGCTGCTGCTGGGTATCTGCGATTTCGTGTATCCAAACACATAGGTGATTTTAATCGCATTTAGTGAGAGTAGCTTTCAGTTGGATGCAAGTCGCTACCGACCGGTCAGCGGAAGTCAATGGGGGAGGCCTATGTTCAGCTGTGGACGTCCTACGGCTGATATGATGATGATGAGTTTTCACATGCGCCGTTTATGGATACGTAAACCTATGAAACAACACCAATAGACACAAGACTTCACAAAGGACCGGCTGCAGTGTTCGGGAGCAAGTGTGAAACGTAACGAGTGAGGGAACTGTAGCATCAAAGCTGCCGCGGGACACGAGATATTCGAAAGTGAACCGTACTAAGGTTTGTATGATATGGGTACGAGCGAGGACATAGAAACACGGTCGATTTATCACTACACCTATCGGCAATGAAGCCTGTTGAATGTGCGATACGGTTACATTTTTCAAGCGACAAGAAGAGGAGGTTTTCGATTCGGTCGTTTCCTTTTGTTTGTTACCTCAGAATACCGTAATTTATGAACCGATTTAAAAAAAAAAATTTCATTGGGGTAAGATCTCGTATGGTCCCGTAGTAGTTTCGTTGTTATTTGACTGTTTTTGACCGTTTTGTTCGTATTTGCGAAGGCATTCATCTTCGTGTTTTCAAAACTATAACGTCATTAACGTCATAACAAAGATTATATCACACTTTATTATCACTTCAGACGTTCTTTAAAAATGCAACGATGATGCAATAAGGGTATCGTGCTAAGCAAAACAAATTTTCACTTGAGATGGCAAATGCACTGCTTTGATTGTTATAAGGACTGGTCCTAGATTTGGCGCTTTAGTGTGGCTACCCCACATCGAAGTTTCTAAGTTTCCGCTGTGCGCTCGTTGCACACGTGACAACGTACCGCACCTACGGGACAAGTTAATGTGCTACATTGAATAGGTAATTGTTGCAGAGGCATCGCTGTGTTGCGAAACTTCGAAAGCACTACCCCAAAGTTTGGCATTGATGCTTTTGAGTTGGGATTAAATGGAGAAAGGTATCCCTGCTCTTTACAGATTACCACCGTTTTAGTTATTTTTAAAGTTATTTAGTTTTAAAAAATCATTACTTTTTAAAAGGGAACCAAATTATTTATTATTAATATTATTAACATGTATTTAATTTAGGAAATTCAAAACATGTTTTATTTACTTAACTAAGTGTATTCTTTTTTATTAAAAAAATTACCCAATCATGATAATGAAAATATAGACACTACATTCATAGAAGTTATATCTACACCAACCTCATCTTAAAGTAAACGCAGACTGACAATTTAGTTAAATGATATTGTACATTTCTGTAAATGAATGAAAAAAAATTACAATATAAAGTTTCATCTTGAGAGATAATCACTGAAAATATAAACATTAATCCTAAGATTTCCTTTGAAGTGTCAGATTCCTTTTATTTTAATTTACATTTTAGTTAAATACATAATGCTTTTCCTTTTTTTAGTTACACTGTATGTGTTAAAAATTAGAAAGTTATTTAATCTTTAATTGATGTACCAGTGCATATTTAAATATATTGTGTAAGAAACTTTAAGTGTAACTTAATAAATCAATAATTGTTGTTAACTCATCGGACTAAATGTCATTTTAAAAATTCTAAATAGGTACTATTCTACAATCTTTAAACATACAAAGCAAAACACACACACAATGTTTTACATAAACATTTGACTGCAAACACTTTCGTATCCAATTGCAAAAACTCATTGCACTCGATCGTACGTTGTCGCTGGAGTTTAATGTCCTGTGCTAGTAATTTCCCAGATGGCGCCACTAGTTATAGCCGCACCATTCGACTGTAGATACGACGTCAATTCTGCGCACATGCATTTATTCCCAAACTGCATATCGCTCCGTGAAACGAACAATACACCTAGCATGCAAAATATGAAGCCGAAGTGCGATAATGTAGGTACGTAAATTCCGAGCACGCCATATGCTGTGTGTTAAACAGATCCAAGTATACGTGATATAAATAATTCAGATTTAATATGTTACAATCATAAGTTTAAAAGAATATACGTTTAGTTTTGGCGTTCAGAATAGATACTCACGCCAAGATGCATGTAATTAGATTTATTAATTTTTTTCCTAGTCTGGTAACAGTTTATTTTATCAATGTTTAAATATTGCACGATTAATTAGCGCAGCATGATACACAGTTTTAGTGAAAAAGTAAGTAAAGTAACAGGCTATTAATGTCCCACTGCTAAGCAAAGACCTCCGTAAGAGGATATCAGGGCATAGTGTCCACCAAGCGGCCCCACTGCGGGAATGGCGGGCTTCACATATCTTCGAGATATTTTTTGTTATTTTTTCGAAAATATGCAGGTTTCCTCTAGATGTTTTCCTTCGCCGCCGAGCACGTGATAAATCAGCGCTTAAAATGAATTATTTCATTGGTGCCGGGGATCGAACTCAGGTCGCTCGAGTAGTAGTTTTATACATAGTATCAGAATGCAGAAACATGTATGAATTAGGTAAGTAAACTACTGTTTATATTTTATTCATTACCCACAAGAGCTAATATTCGAAAACTTTTGGCGCAAAACCTTTCTCTTAAAATTTTCAAACCAAATGATACTACAATTCACCCACTTAAGGGTAATGTCAGCAAATTTATCAAGATCGGATTCGAAATCTTCGTCTCCACGCCTGAAGAAATCTTACTACGATTGATCAATTATTAACCTTCAAGCGGTAACACCTGTAACCACCCAATATTATTAACTTCACAGATAACGAATGTCACGAACACACACATCTTTGTCTTTTGTTAATTTAAGTTGTTAAATTCCATTCCATTTTCTTTTTTCTTTTTTTCGTAAAAAAATTTCTTTGGTTTTTTTTGCCATTTTTATGTTCAAGTTTTATATTATTTTATATAAGACGGAATGAATATCTTTAAATTCCTCTTTAACAGTGAATCAGCGAAAATCTCCGATTGATCGCCACAATTGCGACTATCAACGCAAACAGCACACAAAAGACGGGACAACATAATTGAATTCTTTCACTCGACAAAATCGTCCAAAAAGAGGCCTCCAATTACACGGACCGAAGGGAGTTGGATTGAAACGTCCTTTTTGAAGGTTAAAAATAGGGGCATTGAAATGTGGGAATAGGGTTACCATGAGTTATGTGTGGGTAAGCCATAACACACTCACTGGTTAATGCAACGTTCCGAGGAAAGAAAACGGTTAAGGGGATATCGTTTTCGGCCGAAATAATTTTTACCTGAATTGACTATGGGCGGGGTACGTTTCGCGGGGAAAAGATTACCTTAGGAGTAATCGTGTCGTCAAAAGAAAATAGCAACAGGGTACGACGCCCCATGACCAGATGGCGTGCCGATCTGACCAGTTGATGGAGACTGGATGCATAGTTGAATATTAAATTGAGTGGCGTGCCTTAAGAGACTAGTGGACTGTCGTGGGATTTTTCGGTCTATTCAATAGCATCATCACCAATGATGATATTGAAAAAACCGAAAATAGATAAATGGAGGTAGCGACTAGTTACTCTGGGGCGCAGTTGCCAAGTTCTCACACGGGACAACTACTTGTTTGACCCACAGATATTTATTTCGGTTTTTGATGTTGTTACATTAGTACATAAATTTCATGTCCACATGAAATTTATGTACTAATGAACGTCGTTACAATACCGGATAATGTTATATTTTACAATACAGGATATATAGGTAAAGGCAATGTTTAAAAAAATTTAAAATATTAACCTTAGCAGTATCAATGGCTCATTGGCGACGGATAAATTTTGGATAGTTTGGTCATTATTTTAAAAACAATCAATGAAACTGATTGTGATTGATCTCGGTCGACTTTGTCTGTCTCAATTTCGTCGACATTTTGCATCGTTGTGGTCACCCGAGGGGAGGACAATGAGACGCCTTAGCATTTTCCGAGTGTCGGGGACGAGACGTTGACAAATGAGCCCGTGTCGAGGACACGGAGGCAGGTGATCCCGGCGGCCATTTACTGCTGGAGCGCGGCGACGATTTATCGTGATCGCCCTCGCACGGATTAATTTCGAATCGACATTCGGTCACACAAGTAGCTACGGAACCAAATACGCACGCTAAAACATTACATGGTACGTTAATCTAGACGACAAACGAACGAAACGGCTTTTTAGTTATTGCAATAAAAAAATTATGGATTTTGAGGCAAACGAGGTGATGGTAAGCGGTCAAGTCGTCCATTTTCTATGTGAACCGTCTCAGATAAAGGAAAGCTAGCGAGCTGCTCATCATGTACATCTTCAACCAGACTGGTTGCAGATGTGTAGCTAATCTTTGTAGAGATAACACCTTGGTTAAACAACTCGCCAGAAGAAACGCAAAATTATAATGGAAGTATTATTCACTTCGGTATTCTGCGCGGCCGTGGTACTTCCCCGGACGATCCTGCCATTAGGGGAACACCAGAATCTGCTGCAGGTCCTTAAAACAGAGACCCTTACTCTCTTTCAGGACATTTGCATCACATGCGGATTAAAGTGCCCTGCCTACCTGCCTTTCAAGTAAAAAAGAATTGGCCCAGTTTGGTATAGGTAGCGTTACAACAACAACAGATTTAGGAATCAGATCGACCGGAAATCCCACAAAACAAGTAATCCCACAAAATGGTCCTGCGTGCCAGTTTATCTATTCGTGAATTGCTGTGATGGTATTTTGGTTTCTGTCGCGTAATAAAACTGCCTCTAAATTCTATAATTATATCGAGAGAAGCCGAGGTGCATTTTATCCAGAAGAATAAAAAAACTTTAATGTATTCATGAAGACGAACTTAAAACTGGCACAACAGAATATTAGTATAATGGTGCACTTTACAGCTCAGCTCAGGTGCACTTTTATAGAGTACTTTTACAATGTAATAAGCAATAATAAAAACATGCTATGGAAACTGCAGTGTTAAATTAAACTATTTACTGAGAATTTCATCGCCTTCGATTAGAATTTGAATATTTAAAGTACTTCAATTGGAATTTGAACATGTAAGAATATTTTATGCGTAGGAAGAATTTGTTACAGGCCCTCCTGGCTGACTATTAGATGTCACTGTTCATCGGCCTCGGCGAATATGCGAAAATTTGCGCGGAATTTTCACTTTTAGTTGCTTCAGAGTTAAATTTTAACATTATTGATCGTTAACGTTTTAGGTCAGCTATATGTTGCGTCACGAGGGACTTTCCTACTCTTTTTATTTGTCTCATAAAAGAGTCTCAGTTTGTCATGTGACCACGAACGCTGTAAAACGATCGAAACGTCAGCACTTAAAATTAACAATTTCATCGCTCGTGGCACCGAGATTGAAACTCAGGATGCTCGATTATATTGAATAAAAGGCAAGCGCCCGGACAATGAGCTATCACTCTCATACTCATTATGCGCAGCATGCGCGTTAAAATAATAAATTTTCATTATTTTTAACCGACTTCAAATAAGGAGGTTTCTCAATTCGACCGTATATATATTTTTTATGTGTGTTCGTGGATGACTTCGTCGTTTATGAACCGATTTTGATGATTCTTTTTTTGTCGGAAAGGAGATATCCTAAGGGTGGTACCATGATAAGGAAATCCGGATCTGATGTTGGAATCCCAGAGAAATCGAGTCCCATCGTTGAATGATATGGTATTAACAATGTTTTTTTTTTTTAATTTTCTGATTGAAGTCGTTTTTTTTTTTTTGTTAAAATTATGCTTGTTCTTCATTCTCTTCTACTTTTGTTCAACGCTCTTTTGATCGTCAAGAACTAACATCGGTTCCCAGAATTATACCGGTCCAGAAAAGAAGCGGCAAGAAAATCTGAGTTCTCGTTTCTATATTGTTATCTTTTAAAACAGCTTTTAACAATATTAGTACAAAACCAGCAGTATTCCGTTATTACAATAGCGTCGAATGCGCCTTTTTGTACACGTAAAACGGGGAAACGCGTTCGGCATAGGGTTGCCAGCCGTACTATAATATTTTATAGTAGTATAAATAGTATTGCAATATGTTTATGGACTGTGTACTTTATACTTTTGAAAAAAATTATACAACCTTATATTTGCAACATCGAAACTAAGAACAAATAAATGCCTTAAAGTAGCTTCACAATAACGTAACAAGAATAAATAAGTAACAAATGAATCTTTGTCTATTCTTCGCTTTGTCCATAAAACACTTATTTATTATATGTACTGAATTTTCGACTTACTTCAAAAAAGATACAGGTTTTGGCACGCAAGTATGCACACTAAATAGCACCAAGCATTGCTCAAAAATGCAATGAACCTGGTATAGATTTTGAGATTTACGTGATATTTTTTTTACACAATATCGGCCGCGTAGCTAAAGAAGAAGAAGAAGAAGAAGCAACCTGGGTTCGATCCTCGGTGAAACTGTTAATTTTCATTGCAGACTCATCACGTGTTCAGCGTTGAAGGAAAACATAGTGAGGAATAATAAATTATTTTTATATTATTCCACACTATGTTTACGAAATAATAACAATAAATAACATATTGCGAATATATGTCAAGTCGGCCAATCAAATCTAATAACATTATTAAACATAGGAGTAATACACTCGCTTATTGGTAGTCAAAATACTATCCTACAAAATAAAAAAATAAAAATACAATACTATCCACTACCGGAACAGTTGGGCATGTATTGGCTGTTACGTTACTTAGGCGGGGTAGGTCGCGTGGTGGACTATGCCCCGCCGCACAGGTGTGGGGCATGTATAGGCCGTTACGTTACTTTACTCAGGCGGGGTAATGTTGGCAACCCTAGTTCGGAATGCGGTCTCGCCTTTGGCAACAGCGCGCGGCGCGGACGCGGCGCTTGCGCAACGCACGGGCGAAAGTGGTCGAGCGAGACGGGTCGACCGATCGCAGACCGGTCCAGTTGCACGTCCTCACGGAACGTACTGACATTGAGCGAAGAAGAGAATGGACGAGGAATGGCTTTTTTTTGTGAGAAGGTCGCAAGCGAGCTGGCGGCTCACCGGATGCTAAGTGAACCGCCACCCATAGACATCTGCTACACCCGAGGGTTGCAGATGCGTTGACAACCTTTTGAAAATTGGGCTCCGGCTACCCACTTTACGCCGGTCTTCTGGGCGGTCGTGGTACTTACCCGGACGCGCCTGCCCGTTCGTGCAACAGACGGGGCTTGCTGCGTGGCCCTACCACCGTGCACCGTGCACCGGATTTCGGCGGTTCACCCGATACTAAGTGATAACCGCCGCCCATTGACATTTGTAACACCCGTAGGGTGGCAGACGCGTTGCTACTTTTTAATGGCATGCGCTCGGTTCACCTCGCTCACCACACGAAACGCAGAACTATGACACTTCTGCTTCACGTTATTGCAGAACCCATGGTAAATCAGCACTAAAAATTGTTACGGAAATAAACGAGTTGCATTAGAACCGTGATTTAATTATTTCCGTAAACTAAGCTTGGTCATTTTTAATTCCAATAAAAAGGAGCAACAAGTTCATCCGAGAAGGTCATCCTGGTACTTTTTTTTGTTTTGCGATGGCAGAAAATAGCTGAAGTCTTTGTTTGACACATTATAAACAATCTAATAATACCCCACAACAGAAATAATTCCATTACATTCATGATAGAATTGTACTACAGTTTTAAAATTGTATTTTATGATTCCATGTTTTACATCGTTCATGTTGTAACGACATAATCATTTACGAGTTTATGACTAGTCTACAATATAGACATCTTTCAGAGTGCTCGCCACGCTACACTACAAGGATGCGTAATACAACCAAACCTGTATTTAAAATCCTCGAAAAGCTTCGTCAGATTTTCCGTTAACCGCTTATCGACGTGTGACCGCCTCGTGATTGATTTCTATTCAAGAAAATCTCACATACTCCCAGAGCAAGTTCGCCGGCGAAACGCATTCCAGCCATGCATCAACCCCACTCGCTCCAGGGCGGCTTGCGAAGTATTCAAGGGGCCCGCTTTGCAGCCGAAATTGGCAGGAAGTTCGCGACGCTCGCGATGCGGCCCGCGCGCTGAGCGCGCATCGGTTAAACCGCCGCTCGTCGCCGGACAACGCGTCCGTTCGGAGTTAAACGCTCTCAATAGCGCGTCCTTCGCAAGGCTAGGGTGACCAGGAGGTTCCCGCTTTGCCGGTCATTGTCCGGTCATTTCGATAGCTTTTTGGCGGACTTCGTAATGCTTACGATAAATAGCCCATAAACAGAAATATATCAACACACCTCTTCTGCCTTATTCATGTGTAAATAAAAAACTAAACACCCAGATACATAAAGAAGTGATTAAAATTCAGAACCCAGAAGTTTTCATCAATTATACACATAAAATATAATATGTTAAAGAAACAATTTTATGTTTAAGAAAGCATACGCATACATAAACCCCTTACCTACGTTTAACATTAATTTACTATATTAAATGTAACAAGTACAAATTATTACGTATTCTACCTCGTTAAAATTCAATGACCGCAATCCACACGCCTACATATGGATTTGTATTATAATCTTTCGTTAGAATAGTCCTCAAACCGACTGACGTGTGCTGACCCTACGCAGGCTGATTACAGAGTAATTACGGAGCAGCGTTGACCGACGTCATGCGGAACCGACACTGCGGGGTATGGAATGCGAATCGCCAATGAGCAATTTGCGGTGACCCTAACAATGTCCCATATCTCGTTCAATTACTACTGTGACTTTAGCATTTTCAATTTAATTTTAGCAAGTCGTTAAGATGATATCACTTCATTTTTATAAGAGCGGTCAATTTTGTTATAAATATTCCTACTCTAGGCGTCTCCTAAAGCCCTGGGACTTCCCCGGACGAGCCTACCAATTCGTAAAACAACAGAAGTAGCTATTTCACATTAAAAATAGGTAAGCATTAGCCATTTTCAACAGTGCTTTATGCTCACAATGTGCTTACAGTGACGACTGGCGTGGGGAGTAGTGAACCCGCCTCTTGCTCCAGAAGGTGGAAAAATTGAACATATTTTTTCCAGCGTTTGGGTGTTTATATATTCATAATATTTCTAGTACCCATAGTACAAGCACTGCACTTACTTTGGGACTAAAGAACGTTGTATAAAAATGTGTGCGCAAAAATATAATAATCCATACTACCCATACTAATATTATACATGCGAAAGTAACTCTGTCTGTCTCGCTTTCACTCCAAAACTACTGAACCGATTTAAATGGTTAATACATAGGCTATTTTTAATTGGAAAAAAGTGTTGTAAAGGATTGAAACATATTTATTTAACGGTTTCAACGCGAGCGAAGCTGCGGACGAAAAGCTATTATAATATACTATAACAATGCTTTAAATTAGACATATGATACAAAAATTTATAATCTATTAGAATAAAACGAGGTCGAGTGTGACGCGTACTTTGATAACCCCTACAGATGTCAAGTTTAAGTCTGAATCAGCTTCATAATTGTTACGATAATTATCACGCTTATATCATATTATATTATAATGGTGTTGTAGCTGAGACCTCGGAAGTTTAAAGTAAAAGGCGGGTGTTCAAATCCTTGTAACGACGAGTATTTAATTTATCGAGTTACTTACCTGTGGTAGGACCACGCAACAATCTTCGCTGTTGCATGAGTGGGCAAGTCCGTCCGGGTATGTACCACATCCTCATAGAAGACCGGCGGGAAGTAGAAGTGTTATACTTCTGCGTTTCGTCTAGTGAGTGAGAAAGCTGGGTCCAATTTATTAAAAGTTGGCAACGCATCTGCAACCCTACGGGTATTGCAAATGATAATAATGGGCGGCAGTTATCTCTTAACTACAAGTGAACCGCCAGCACGTTTGCCACCTTCTCACATTAAAAAAAATAACATAAACGCAAGATACGCCCTGTCACGATGGTGCGTTGATAAGGCTTCTGTAGAGTATAACATTAGCTATGTCCGTACATTCAGTTACAGGTTGGAAATGCGAGAGCTGTTTTTTATGTAAGTTAACTGGTATTTACGAATTTATACGATAACATCGCAACCCATACATTTAGACGTATATAAAATAAACTAAATCAACAATCAATCAAAAAAATCGATCAAACGCTGTTTTCTTGCTTTTACGCGAATATTATACATATGAAATGATTTTATAGCGTTTTTTATTTTGATTTGAACTACGTTTCGAACCCTCTCCAGCGATCATGGTCACGAGTCTGTCCCGTGACCGATACAACGCGATAAAATCCGTAAACTAGTTTGATTTAATCGATCAAACGTTGACCAGAACAAATTATTAAAATGTTTAAAATTGTACGCGTGCACGAAGCAGCCGGGGGGAAAACCGGTCGGGTTATTTCAAAGAATCATTGCTGGACGAACTTTTGACCTTAGCGAACAAAAATACTAAGAATTGGATAGCACTACAGATGAGCAATACGATGATGATTAATTGCAAAAACGTCTCAGCGACTGAATCAATTTTGCAATTATCCGAAAAAGAAATGTAAAAACCCGAGTTTTTGCAATACATAAATAACCGAAACAAGAAAACATTAGAAAATGAACCTATTTAGGGGAGAAAATATAAAATTGTGAGCGTATTTGAATGGAGGCGCAACCAATTACATTTTAATTTGTTTAATAAAGTATAACCAGTAAACCAGGGCTCACTATTTACAAGCAAAAAATCAGAAGAAACAAGTTTTGCTTTTACAGTGCAAAATAACCCGACTAGATTTTTTTTAAATAAAAATTATATTCAATAAGTAAAAAGATGTCCTTTTTGACATGACCTACGATACAATAAGTGTAATCTAATATATAAAATTCTCGTGTCACGGTATTTGTAATTGAACTCCTCCGAAACGGCTCGACCGATTTTCGTGATATTTTGTGTGCATGTCGGCCAGGGTGGAGAATCGGACAATATCTATTTTTCATCCCCCTAAATGTTAAAGGTGGTCCACCCCAAACATTATTTTCTACCCTAAAAATAATTTATATGACAAAACAACGTTTGCCGGGTCAGCTAGTAAAATATAAAATTATACATATTGGCGGTTTATATTACATATTCATGTTTTATTTATTGTCACTAATTTGTTACGTACGTCAGCCTTTGTGGTGTCAAATAAATGACTTTTCCTTCCTTCCTTCTTTCTAAAATATTCTGAACTAACCGATCAAGATATTAGCAGGTTATTTAGCAACTCTTTCCTCAAGTATTGTTAATTAGTAAGTTTTCGGTATAATACTTCTCCGAACTCGACCGCGAAGTTCGGTACGGCGAACACGAGGAAAAACCCCGCATTCTGTACCGGCGGCTGGTACGGCGGTTGTTAGAAAACGGCCTCTTATTGTTTGTTGTTATCAACAATTATCGGTTATGTTCGATCGTTCGGCTGTATCGGGGCGAAGCATGTAGCATTCATCGCCGCTTTCCCGCGGTAAATCTCTCGATGGGGAATATCGGTTCATCGACGCACTGCACTCCATGTAACCAAGCAGCGATTTACGAGCGGTCTTCTTGGGGTATCGCAGGCGTTGAATGTTCGGTAATCGGCCGTACAGAACGGGTCCGCCTCTATTTCGAAATGTTTTTTTTTTATCTATCCACCTTGCCTTTACCAAGCAAACGTCTTAATACGTTTAACAGTAAATTCCTCCAGTGATGCAACAGCTGTGACTGGTTTGAAACGTCTTGAACACTTTTCTTCGAGTTCACACAATAACATAATACCACAAGTAATTGTATTCGAATCTAAAAGGCGATGCACCGTTGAGGTGACAAACTCACACACAAGTTTCGCATATAAGTGAGAGACAATACTTATCACGTTTGTCTATGTTCACGAGATTACTTAAGTAACAATTTATTATGCAACCAATGTTTAGTTACGAACAGACTAACTGCGTAGGATTCGTATAATGATTTATAGCCAAGTTTCTAGATGATGTTGTACAAGTAAATAGACGTAGTGCAAGTAACATTTTAGAAACAAGTATTAATCGCGTTCAATTATTTAATGAACGACATTTGACGCAATTAGCTATGATTCGAATTCTTTACATTTCAAACACATTATAGTGTTTATGAACACGGGACTTAAAATCAAAATTAAGCGCGCCGAAATCTGTCATATAGTTTAACTTAACATAACAACAAAGTGTGAGTGTAAATACAAAATTATGCGATAATTGTGTTTTGAAAGTAGATCCGATAAATAAATCAAATCGTTCCCAAATCACCAATTCCTCCTACGGATAATAATCATAGAGAAGGAGACCATCGAAAGATGGAAACAATAGAAAATAATATAATACAAACGCGTTAACTACTGTTAGGCCATCAAGATTCTCAGTGACATATTCATAGACTAAGCTAAGATAAGCGCCGAAAAAAGGTGAAACATCAAAATTTGTAAAAAAAAACAAAACCGAGGAAACAAATTGTGAGGAATTCAGTGAAATATCTAAAATCACGAAAGAAAGCAGTTCACAGATTCGCCATTCGGTGATCATAAAGTTCTCGGAAGGTGCATTCCTGAGACATCTCTCCCTTTGAATAATAAATCTGTTTGAGACGCGCGCGGCGGCGTTCTTGGCGGTGCCGCGAACGGAAGTCAGATGAGGAATGTTCTCGATGCTTATTTTTTCTTCATCGCGGATCGTACAAATTGCTAAAAGTGATTCGGTCGCTAGTAAAATCACAACGATAACTGACTAATGATTATTCACAGTATATTCTTGGTACATTTCATAAGATCTTGTTTATGTTATTTAAAAAAAAAATTGTGTGTATCTATCTCACTGCTGGGCAAAGGCCTCTTCCATACAGAAGGGGATTGGCGGTCTTCATATATCGGCACCGGGGATCGAACTCAGGTTGCTCGAGTAAAATTAATTTAAGGCGAGCGCCCGTACTACAGCTACCACGGTTCATGTTATTTATCACTTATTATTTATATGTTTATTATTTAGGTTAATATAATTATTTATCGAGTTTTCTTGTATAGTCGTTTATGACATTCGAGTATAACATAGTTATTTTATCGGTGCACTTACCTGAACTTCGCCGGTCCATCCGTTTTGTTGACTGGCAGAAAATTACTTTAGCATTAAGGACGCCTTAGTACAAAGATTTCTTTATGTGCATATAGTTTAAAATAATGAATACGGACAAACGATAAATTATTGGACACTCGCGATTTTGTTTTGCTCATTAACAACCATATAAATCTAGACGCAAAAAAAAATTGCTCAAAAGCACCATAAGAGATTCCGGATCAATTCCGGGTTTTATTTCATAACGTACCTAAAATGTAGCGCTTCACTTATAACTATTTAAAAAAAAACGAAAAAACAAATCTAAACAAACATTGTGACCATTACCGGTTAAATTATATTACGCAATATAATAATATTTCGAAGTGTAATAATATTAGCAATAATCGTAAAATACCTCCTTCGCGGATTTCATCGACTTTAATTTAAAACGCGTAAAGCGGTTTGATTACAAAATTTAATATTCCTTTTAACGTAATCATTACAGTAAGTCAGCATAACCGACACGCTCAGTGACAACCACTGAGCACGTTAGTTTCCTTATCCGTTTATAACATTTTAAACGTCCACATTACGTGTATATTATAGGACCATACTGCATCTTACAATGCATTGGAATATTATATGGTATTCATCCCCTATATATGTCCCACTGCCGGGAAAAGGCCTCCTCTGTACAGGGTGTATTAGGGCATAGTCCACCACGCGACCCCACTGCGGATTGGTGGAATTCACATATCTTCTATTATTGTTATATATAAATTTTTTTTATTATTGTTTCGGAAATATGCACCTTTCCTCGCGATGTTTTCCTTCACCGATGAGCACGCGATAAGTCAACACTTAGAATTAAGAATAATTTTGATTTTAAGCCCCGTGTTTATGAACATCTTATCTTAACAGGATTTCGGCGCATTTAATTTTCATTTTAGGTCCCGTTTACATCTTATCTAAACACCATCACCTACTTAACCATCATTACGTAACTGCACCTTCGCAAAGCCGGTTAAATGCGCTAGAAGTTACTAGAAAGAACCTGTCCGTCCCCTTCCTCCGTCACCGTCACGCCGTCGACCTTGTCACGGGCCGGCGAGGCTGTTACGCCCCAGTTGGCGCACGCGGGCGTCGCATCGTCACGTGTTGCGTGCACTTAGCACGCTCGTACGTGACGACTGAGCGGGCAGGGTTGTCCAAATACTAAAGAAAGATGTTCGTTGACTTTTAACACGTCGACCGGTTACTAATTTTGCTTATAATCACACTACATGTTTTTTTAACACGAGTGCGTGATTCTTAGCTGTATCAGTGAGTCGGAGAGTGCAACTCAATGCTGCCCAGATAGTTTGGAAATATATCGATGGCTCATTATTATTACGCGGTATTAGATAGCCAATGTCTACGTCACGAAGTAGCTAAATTAACAATAGCTCAGTTTGAAACATAAAACTTGGGTTTTGTTTCCTTTTCAATCTCAGTGGCTTGCAATGATGAATTGCTTGTTTTGCTCTGTGACCATACTGGTAGGTTATTTGTTTAGCTATTAAAGTGATTGCTCAACATATTTATTTATTTGTAGATGCAGTAGGTGTCAGCCCTACCGCTTACTGAACCTAATTCGCTGCACACGGGCGTTTAAAGCGTGAGCCGTCGTCACTCCGCGATGCAAATTTGTTTACACAGGGGCGTGCTACGTGAGTTTTTCGCCCGGCGGCCGCACAATTTGCATTTTCATAATTACGACATATATATTTGCATGTCGAAATAATTAAAACTGCTTACGGTGCTCTGACGGTGAATTATGATTTTGCCGACTGTACAAATTGGAACGAAATTTAACGTGGACAGTTTTAACAGCTTTATACATAATATTCAACATCAACATTAAGTCCGCCTTTTGTAATCCTTTTTCCAAGGTTTTTCAATAAAGCATAAATAAAAAAAATCTACTATTAGAAGATCTACTATTAGGAGGTCGATTTGAGTATAACTTTGAAACAAACCTGAAGGATTAATTTAAATAGTATAATCAAAAGCAAATTAAGAAATAAACTTCGAGGTGCGATTTTGAGTAAAGACCGGCTTGATTTAAGTAAAGATTAAAGAAAGAGAAAATTGAGATTTGAGTAAAGTCAAGATTGATTTCGACGATTTACCATCCAATTGGCTGCCGGAATTAGGCCACCTCGTTAGCGTTTTGTTAGGACTTGTAATAACTCAAAGCGGTTGGCAGATTTTCCTACTGTAAATTCCGACGAATTCACTTTGATTATGGTACCTCTAGTTAAATTAGGCAATAGCATAGTCCGCCAATCGACCTCAGAGCATGTTTCATCAATGTTCATCAATCATGAATGTTTTCAATCATCGTCGATTAAGTAGTATTCTTTTAGGATAACCAACAACATCACATCGAAATCTAGATTCGAACTTACTCGATGATGTTGAACTAAAATCTCCGTCTTCTAACTAACTCTACCAGTGGTGTAAATAGAGCTAGCACTAAAAAATTAACACTTAACCGGGCTGCAAGTTGAACAGTTTTAAGCGTGGACGCAATAAAACAACCTTCATAATCGCTTTCTAAAAGTGTACCTCACGGCAAATTTAAAGCGCACAGCGGTCATTCTTCAAGCGACAAACGTTTATTATTCAATATACTATCGGTGAACTTACTGTGATAGGGGCAGTTACAGTTCCGTACGAGTAAGTACCACGACCTTATAGAACACCGTCTCGGAAGTGGTACACTTTGGTGTTTCGTCTGGTGAGTTATGTAACCGGGGCCCACTTTAGTGAATGGGGGCAACGCATTTGTTACGGGTGTTGTAAATGTCCGTAAATGGCGGTTATCACTTAACATCAGGTGAACCGCCATTAATCTGTTGTTGGCCGACCGACATCCGAAAAATCCAAGTCCCCATCAGAGAAGAGTAGGCAATCAGGGTTCTTAAGTGACATCGCAAATTAAAATGATGACTCAACAAACATGTGGTACATGGAAGGAATTTACTATTCAGTATTTTGTATGGTATAGGTTGTTGTGTGGTAAATGGAAGGACTTTTTGTGTGGTAAAGAAAAAAAAAATTATTGCTTTAAAAAAGCTTTCTGATAACGTGTTATATTAAAATATTACCATCATAATTCGGCACTACGATCATAACATTACTTCGGAATTTGGCACTATAATTAAAAACGTGTACAACTGACGGGATCTTCATTGTGCAAATGGTGGAACGTTGCACAGATAGAGGAATATATTTTAAAAAAAGTCTATAGTCATCAGGACAAGATTTCATTACGTGAATAAAACAGACTTCTTGATGACAGAGTTCCCGCTTAATTTCACGCAAGAAAATTCAATCACATGGCATTTACATCAAATTTACATCCGAGACGACATTAATACCGCTCAATCTCTTCTCGACTTCATGCTCTGTTAGTAAATTAAAATATTTCCGTTAATAATCGAATAAGTAAGCAGCTCGGTGAATTCATCACACTTAACGCATTTTCTTAATTTAATTTTCTATACTTGATTTTCAAATATATTATTACTTTAATTGATTACATTTTACATATACAACTTTCCTGTGTGCCATGGAAACATTGTGCCTGCCGATGATATAGTCTTAATTAAGTACTATTACCAAATGTCAGTTAACATTTGTTATCAACTGATTGGTCAAGTAAATGTAGATTTGAAGATTACAATCTGCAATACTCGTCTGATGCGAAATAATCATCGTACATTGACAGTGAAAAATTTTAAAATGCCCACTTGCTTTCTGTTTATGGTAGCTAAAACGTGAATTAGTTTACCATTCTTGGGATTACTTAATTAAGTGCAAATGTTAGTACGTCATCTAACAATTTTCAGACTAAATAACGTCTTAGATAAGTTAATACAACTAGCTATAAATCTAAGCCTGAGCCATCGGACATTAAAGACGGCAAAACATTTCCGACATACTTACTACATCATAATGTATGCAAAAAATGACAACATAACCTATCTGAGAATATTGTTCCAGAAACTGAGACAAACTTCAACACGACCGATCAGATATTCAATTTCACACAACACCAGTTCCAATTGCCACCGTCTACGGTTGCAATTGGCTTGGCATGCGTGTCAAGAAAGAGATCGATGGGACCTTGAGCGGTTGATCGGACCGTCATCAGATTTAATTATCTTCTGCGAATCGCCCATAACTAAAACCTAATTATTTTATTCATTTTACATAGCCATATTCTAAAGTCGAACCGCAATTATTCAAAAATCTATATACTAATACGTAAAGCAAGAACTTTATACCCCTTTTTAGGAAAATTGCGCGGACGGGGGATTCTTAAATTTCCCACACTTACAGTTTACATAGAAAAGGAATGCAGAATGCCAATATTTTTTTAAATTATGCATAAAATAAAATAAATCACACACACTTATATGTATAATTAATTATGGTCGAATTTCGATCACTGGGCGACCATTAGTCATTATAATTATATACCAATTTAGAAATAAATATACCGTCCCCAATGTTTCCTGTTACCGGAGTAAATGTCACTTGTTTTTGGCGACAAATATCCGCCGATACAGTATTAACAGAACTCCGTAGAAATAATTAAACACAATTAATTACTGGTCGCATTAACAATAACACATAAATAATGCAAAAAAAAATTACAGGTTAAAAATTTACTATCATTGTATCGTATCAAAAACTTGGCACAATAGGTAATTCATAAACATATAAGATCGACCACAGATGATAGTGCACAGTTCGCTCGCGAAAACGAAATAAAGGCGGGAAGGTGATTTTGAATCGATGCTTTTGCGTCGATGGGAAACTGTCGGACGAACGTGTCTGCCTATAGAGGTGTGCACATTGTGGTGGTCGTCGGGACAACGTAAACGAGAGGCAGTGACCGCGGCGTTTACGGGCGCGTTCGCTATGTAGAAATAAAACCGATTATTATTCCATTAGAGTTGATTTAACCGAACCGTATGTGATGTTTTATCCGAAAAGCGATGCAAACAGCTGCGCGGTTTCCGCAACACGCGGTTAAATAATCGGAATTATTACTTCGCTCGTAATTAGTTGAACGTGTTAATAATGTGTTGTAACACACACGATTGAACTTTAATTGGTTACGTAATACGAAATTATACTTTATCTAAAAAAATAATCGATTTTAGAATGAAAAATGTATATACACATTTAAAGACGTATGCGCGGGTAACGTATGAGTTGTTTAAATCAAACAACCAAATATAATTTCAGATTTAAAATTTTTTTTAGTGCATAATTGTAATCTTTGACATTTTCGGAATTTTCAGACTTTCTTTTGAATTAAAATGTCTTAAAATGAAATAAAGTGGCCAGTAAAGTCGAAACGATATACATTATAAAAAAATAAAACTACAAGTGTCGCAATATCGATTCCAAGATTATTTTTTGATTTTTCAAACATTTCCAAAGTGTGAGAGTAACGTCTTCGTGACCACGCCATACCCACTGCAAAACACTCGTAAACAAGCGAACTCTTATATAGCGGAAACTTGATTCAGTCGCCGGACTACTACAGTATGCATCGACGGAAGCGACGCCGCCCGAAGTACGTAAGTAGGCAGGGCCCCAGGGCTGCCGCAACTTTGCCATTCGACCGTTGGCAACGCTCCAACTATCCCCCCCCCCCCCCCCCCCCCCCCCCCCCCCCCCCCCCCCCCCCCCCACCGCCAGAATGATTGCCCCTGGGGCAGCCCTCGCCCGAGGAGTCGATCGTTCCCAAAAAGTTTCGAATGCGAATGCAGTTTCGGTTTCCAATCGGGTAATATTAAGTTGCACTGCGAGCGAACCTAAATAAATAGCTTTGGAGAAGGCATCTCATCGAAACCTCTTATCCCTTATTCTACTCCGTGACATATTTCAAAATAGTATTGATATTTTAAATACGTAAAATTGCCCCATATTAACAATACTATGTTTTATAATGCTCTCTACTCTCTCTAATGTTTGTAATTATCATTAACTTACACAACAATATACAATTAAAACGCTTAAATTTTAAGGTTAAAACAATAAAAACGTAAAGTAAAGTTTATGTTTGTGTAAAGTACGTTTGTTAGAACGGACCTTTGCTTTTTTTGTTATCTTTTATTTATTTCTCGTATTTTGTTTTGTACCTGCGGCAAACTTTCTCTACTCCAAGGGTCGACTGGAAGAGAATGCTTATTAGCATTAAGTTTGCCTTTTGTTTAGCCTTAAATTGAGGTGTAAACAAATTATATAAAATGAAAAAAACCGGCCAAGTGCGAGTCAGACTCGCGTAAAAATCATGTCTGTTGTATGGGAGCCCCACTCAAATATTTATGTATCCCGTTTTTTAGTGAATAATAACTATTCCTATGTCGCTCCCACACTTCATACGAATATAATGACACCTCGTATGTTTTTTATTCTTCAAAAGGTTTAACTTGTAGAGCATTATATTCGTATGAAGTGTGGGACACTTCATACGAATATAATGACAACTCGTATGTTTTTTATTCTTCAAAAGGTTTAACTTGTAGAGCGTGCCAAAGAATAAGACATACATACGCTCAAGAAACATTACCCTCCTTCGGCAGACGGGTTACAAGGAATTATAATCTACAACGGGCAGTGACATGTCTCAATGAAGGCTAATCTTAATCTACATGACATAAGTGACACAAGAAACGGTTGTAACGTAATTTAGGAAAGACTAACTTCAACCATTAAACATTAACATTATACCCTTATTAAAAAAAAAAACAGAATTGTCTTACACGACCATTAAGAACCGATACAGCATTTAGAAAAAACAGTCATAACGATTTTTAAAAATTGCGTGCACGATGAATAGTGATTTCTTATGGCATTTTTAAAAAAAATCTAGGAAGCCTTGTCACGAATAGGCGTGTGAAGCCGGCGAGAGCCGTGACCTTTGTCATGCACGCCAATTGTTAGCAGCCCGTTTATAGCCTTTACATAAGCAGTTACAACCCGCACGATTACAATCTCCGCGGCTCGATATAATCTCTCACAAGAAGACGGATACATTTCGAACTTAACACCATTATGCGACTACAAAAATTGTCGAAAGGAAACGACTTATTAAGAATGTGATCTTCAAAATCACCGTATTACTTGATGACCTTTTAAAGTCAATATTATGTAATACACCCGAAAAAACTTCATCTATATAAATGTGCCAATGAATAGATAAAATATAATTGACTGATACTTAGGAATTTTGAACGTCAAACGGAAAAAGTAAAACGACACCGAGAGAGGTTAAATTTCAAATTTCGAACACACCGACGTAGCGCGTTGAAATGCAAGACCCGGAACTTGTTCCGGTGTTACGTCTCGAAGTTTCCAAGGCGGTAATTGAAACGCTGGCAGCGTTTCAAAAATTTAATATCAGCGAGACAAATGAACCCGACGCCGCCGGGCGCGTATGCTGCCGCTGCGAGCTCAACTAGTCGGCCAGAGTGAGAGTTCGACTAAAACGAGTCGACTCGAGCTCACTGAGCACGGGCTCTGGTGGACATCAATCAGCTTGCTTTAGGTGCCGGCGACTGCTGGACGCGTGCCAAGCTCCACGCGGTGCTAAGTGACTGATGAGGGATGCGGTGGCCCGTGTTGAGTCGACCCGCTTGCTGCAACTTAACGTTTTAACGGAAATTCTAAATGGTTCCGACTTTAGGAATGTTTGAAGTAATTTTACTGACTCTGTAACGCGGTTGGGACGGTAGATTTTAATCTTACTTGAAGAGAATTAGATACCGGTAGCGTTGAAAATGTTATCATACCTCCTACTCTATTTCGCTGATAACGCAGTCCTTTCGGCAGACAGTGAAGTATACGCTAGTTATTTAATAAAAGTAATATATTTAATTCGCTCATCTTCTTTTTAAACAAGTACATTTTTATTAACAATAAACAAAACTCTGTAAGTTGTTCGTAATATCGGGTATCAAAAGAAAAAAAAACTCGAAAAAGCCCCTAAATTAGTTTTCAAGAAAAAACAATATAAATGTAAAAAATTGGTTATAAATATCTGCTACTTTAGCTAATGCATGTTGAATACATGCGGAGACACCAATTTTTATTGTACATTGCCTGTCATAACTTGTATTAAGCCCCCGAAGATTATCCATGATAAAGTAATGGACAATTAGTTTTTTTTTCGAAAATTAGTCATCCAGAATTGGCGTAGTTGTCAAACTATTAGATGTGGCCACAGTAGGTGCCATGTGGATTCATGGGTTGGATGTGAACGCGGATCAGTGTCTGTATCCATGTACAAACAATCGAGTTCGGGTGCTTTTTGATGTTATGCAGACGCTTGCTTGTTTGGCGTTTAAATTGTGTTTGCAAAAAATATTTGTTCATTTGTTTACACTGAGTGGTAATATCAGAACGCGCAAAATGACGTCATTGCCTCCATTCCATACGAGGCGTTCATTCGCACAACTCCGAACCCGGTTCGATGCGACCGCATCGTAAAGTTCACGCTACATCGGCTGCCCGCAGCCCGCTCCCCTCGCCCGAGAGGGCAATAGTAATCAATGGACGTTTAATTAGCATTCCGCAACGCAATTAAACGGCGCGTGCGAAACGGGAATGTGCAACGGGGCCTTCGCTAATGGTGGCCCGGGAATACGTAAGGGCGGTTTGTACCGTTACAGGGGTCGATCTGGGTAGGAGGGAATACCGTGGGTTCACATTTCCTATGACCGAGTATAATTTTTTCTGTAATACAGTTATCTTAACCATTTATTAGCTAGAGAAGAGGAACTGTGCGGTTATATGTTTATTCCCTTCTGTATAGCTAACTTTGCTGTAATTCATCACTCATCAAATATTGATCTGCTTTGGCTAATTTTCTTTTTATGTATTAAGTACATATTTTCATTTTATGGTAAAGAAAGATAGCCAGTAAATATAACTTGTACAATGTCGAGTTACACCCAAAACTTGGCAAGACTATGGCCATGTATCCTTCTATGCTGCAAACGAATGGTAGGGTCAAATAAATTAACAGCAATGAGAACAATAATACACAGAGAAAATAAAGTTGACTTACGAAGTAATTAGGAAGGATGCTCCATCGCCATTCGCTTCCATTCAACTACTGCCTGTTGTACCCATGTGTCTTTAGTTATAAATCCTGTAATTCTATTGGTGTACAATAAAGTATATTTTACTTTTACAGAAACGATTCAAATACAATTTAAATATAATAAGTAAATAGCGCCTACTATACAATTACTAACTAGTTGAGAGCACCTGGTTGTTTCCTCATTTATACTCGCATAAGAATCAACGCAAAAGCATCAGATAAAGTAAATAAACAAATAGCGCCCCCTACACAATAACTAAGTGGTCGGGAGAACTTGGTTACTCCCTCATTAATACTCGCATCAACACGGCTGATATAACGAAATGAGCCGGCTCCATTTATTACGTACAGGCTAACGGGTCAAACTAACATAATGGTGTTGAGGCAAATTGCTTCCGACTGGGAGCACGCGAGTCGACCACGCGATACCAACCCCTGGTCTTCATAACGTATTAACTAATGAACGCCGCTGTGAAACCATATATCAGAGGCACTTGATTAAAGGTTGGGGGATATCATTCACTCGATACAAATAGCCCCTAGCTGATAATATACAATGTAGAACTTCGCTTAAATAGAACTAAATAATCGTTACTTCTAAGAAAAAATGGCCCTTCCCACAACGGAGGGCCCAAACCCGTGGGTTCTGGCTAGCCCACCGGTTCTGCGTCAGATGAAGCTTTAATAGTCTCGGGACTGAAAGCAAAAACATCAGTTAATACAAGTAAAAGTCTAATAAAAAAAATCGAATGTATGTGAAGTCTGCCAATCTACAGTGGTAAATAAATACGCTGTTATTTTAGTTTAATTTTTACTTAGCCCGCGTGGAGCTAAAAAATATATTGGGCAAAATAAATATTGTTTCGAATAATAAAATAAATTACTAATGTAAGTGCTAAAAGCAACATTACTAACCAAGACTTCGCCCTTGTTACGGTATGACATAAATACTGGTAAAAATAATAATTAACTAATTTTTATGTTACAAATGTCTTACTATATTTATCATGATAATGTCTTCGAATATATTTCGATGTTTAATTTGATACTACATCAATTAATAAGGTAATTAAGTAAAATCGTATAAGTAAGGATAATATTATCCCTCTTGTAGATGTTTACATATTTTCGTCGTCAATTATTTATCATTTGAATTAATGTATACTTATCTGTAAAACAAGCATAAATTATTCCATGAAATAAAAAACCCGAGTACATTTAAAATAACTAAGTATATTCCTCTATTATTTATTCGAGGACACGATATTGAACTAATATATCCTATGTCACTTCCACAACTGAGACGAATCTAATCACATCGCGATATTGGAATCCGTGAAGAGGTTAGACCTTGAAGCATGTCAAAAAATTAAACTTTAATACACACTCGTATATACCGGTGCAGGCACCAATGAAATTGTAAATTTATAGTGCTGACTTATCACGTGCTCAGCGGTGAAGGAGAACATCGTGAGGAAACCTACATAATTTCGAAATCATAACAAAAAAAAATTTTCGAAGATATGTGAAATTTGCCATCCGCAGCGGGGCCGCGTTGATTATGCCCTGACACCCACTGTACGGAGGGGATCT